TAGAGAGGTCAACATCTCTGTTTCATCCTCACAACAGGCTTACGTTGACCCCACCTTTCTGATTTTGGGGTGGCGACTCCCACCTTGGTAGTAGTTGGCGAAGGCCTGATAGATTACTGACTGCATGTGATATGATCAGATATATGCTTTTGAAAAACGCCTCTCGGACTGTAGTATGAAGAATGAATTCTATCAACGTGGGGACTCCTCCCCTCAGGTGTGAGACAGTAGCAGAATGGACTTGATGACCATGGTCATGGACGTGGGTAAAGGGCAATTTGGCTGCACAGCCGACAGGACTCAGTGATGGGGTCGACGAGGTGAATGAGGTAGAAGAGAATCTCAAAACCGATTTAAAGGGCAGACTGCACTTACCCAGTGTGTACTCAGTATCCCGTTGGGGTCTGCAGTTCATCTCTCAGCCCTTCCTACAAAGGCTGTCAAATGTGGTCACCTACAGAACACGTGTGTGCGTGTGTGTGATCTCATCTGCACTGAAGTTGGACTTCAATATCATCTACCTTTCAATTCCTATGCATCCTCCATACTAAAAAAAACAGACTTAGCAGTTGCATTAACTGTCACAAATCTCACTTAATTGTATGCTCAGCTCATTGTCATGTACTCATCTTACACTGAGCCCTTGTCTCAGTAACTCTCTATTATTTCTTTATCCGTAGTTCCAGATGTCATGAGTATCTAGTTTCTCAGCCTGGCCTGCTAGGGGTTGACTTGCTCAAGTGAGTCAGATAGACGAAGCCAAGAAGTAACTTTTGAAAGACTGTCACTGAGGGAGAATGGAGAAGAACTCCGAGAGTAGACACGAGAAGAGATAAAGCGTAGCTGCTGAGTGATGTTAAGGATAACAGCTGAGGAAGTACCCTCTGTCTCCTCAGTCCCGGAGGGCATTACTGAATCCCAGACTCCAGCCTCTGATGTCCATATGCACAGTTGGAGTCATCACAAAAGGATTCAATCATGTTCATTACAGTCTGAGTGAGGAGACAGGTGTGTGGCACTTGCTAGAAAGATTCCCTTCATAATGGTTCAGATTTTTAAAGTTTGTACTTAAGGGATGAGATTTAGGTGTAATGAAAATGCACTTCTATAAAATATCTCATTTCCCAATATGTCAGATAAATGAGATATTATGCACATAATCCTAGCATAAAAGATAGTCTCTGTTCCCCAATTATGTACAAAAAGGGAAATATTGATTTGGGTACTTTCTATTTTAATGTTGAAAAGTAGGTCAAGTAGATAGTGTTTCAGGCTTCTTACAATTTCTTTAAGAGCTTCTGCAACACATTATTTGCACATAGATTTTTTTTTTGGGGGGGGGGGGAGGGTGAGGATTCCGTGATTGCTTAGCTGAGTGCCTGGCACATAATTTCTTGTCCTTATTTATAATTGATTTTATCCATTTTTCTTCTCTTAAATTTTCAATGGAATCGTTAGTTTTTCCTTATATATCTTCCATTTCTTAGCTTGGATTCGTTTGTGCTTTTGTGTGTCTCGTATTAAGTGGCATTAAATCAAATGCTTCCTGTGCGCATCCTCAGAGTTATCACTGGTAGCCCTGCTAGCATAAAGGGCACCTGGTGCTCACAGCCTCACTGTTGTGGCACATGGTGGTAAAACGAAGGCTCTTTCTTCAAAATGTGCAGATGAGGGGAACGAACCTGCTTTCAGAAACATTAACTGCTCAGAGTTGTCTTCAAAAAGGAAAACGAGTCATAGCAGTAGCTTTACTAAAGTATTACCTCCTAGCAATTTTATAAAGCTGTAGTCCTAAAGGAAGCATTGGTCAAGATCTAATTGACCCAACAGATGACGCACGAGTCGTTTACGACAGGCTTGATTTCAGATGAGGAGTTGGTTACAAAAGTGTCTGAAGGGCCCGGGAAGAAAAGGGGAACGGAAGTAGGTGTGGAAGAATGAACAGGTGACCGTCAGTGACCTTCTGACTTCCCGGCACCGAAGCTCAGGTTCCGCCTGCCCTGTGGCGTGCGGCTGGGTGTGTAGTTCCACACATGAGCCACCAAGGTGACCTGCCACGGAAATGCTACCACTGAAGAAGCACGAATGCTGAATATTCTGAGAAAAAACAAACGAAAAACAAACCTAACCTGTAGGTGAACACCCATGAACTTTCTAGATAGAAATCAACAGGAAATGGGAGGAGGGAAAGTTAGTTATTGTATCTAAATCTCTAAGTAAATAAGTAACAATGAAAGCATAGTAACATCTTGTTTCTAGAACTTGTTCATGGCCACGGTTGACACTTTCAGCATCTTCCTTTTGCCCACAGCTGGTTTCCCATCTGTTTCTCGACCTGCGAGGCAACCGAAACCTTCTTTATGAGAGGGTCCTCGGTGGTCCCGGCTTGGGTTGCTGTAGACGTTCAATACAAATATGATCTCACTTTGGAAAACCAGCATCAGATATTGGTCCCTAGGGTGGGGGGCTGTTACGCAGGGGTCCTTTCCAGCGAACTCTCGGGCTTTGACTTGATGAGGTGCGGTGTAAGATGAGTAGCAACTAGGGTGTTAGGTCACTCCCTGCTACTTTCTCTATGAGCTGGATTCTTGATCGCCAGCAGTGTCGGGAAGGTCACCCTGACAGTGGGTGCAGCATTCTGCAAGTTCACAGACGAGGGTGCTGCGAACCCATTCGAGCACATTCTAGGAAGTACTGTGGTGTGGTCCTACCAGTAACACGATTCCTGATATGATGGATGATGAAGGTTTGATCTTCGTTCAGGACTTCAACAAAACCAGGTCTGATGTCCACAGGCCGAGAGTCGGGCCTCCTAGGAGTCAGCTCTCAGGGACTCCCTGGATGACTGTGACTTTGCTGGAGTCTTGTTTCAAATCTCACTCCGCCTCCCACGCCTCCATCTCTAAGCTGTGCTTTTCCATTTTATTTTCTTTTTCTCTTTATTGATTTAGAGAGGAAGGGAGAAGGAGAGAGAGAGAAACATCAATGAGAGAGAACATCGATTGGCTGCCTTCTGCATGCCCCACAACTGGGGATCGGGCCCCACAACCTGGGCATGTGCCCTGACCGGGAATTGAACCTGTGACCTCTTGGTGCAGGGGTCGATGCTCAACCACTGAGCCACACTGTCTGGGCTCTGAGCTATTCATTTTTTTTTTCTTTATTGATTTTGAGAGAGGGAGGAAGGGAGAAGGAGAGAGAGAGAAACATTGATGAGAGAGAACATCAATTGGCCGCCTCCTGCATGCCCCCCACTGGGGATCAGGCCCACAACCTGGGTATGTGCCCTGACCGGAAATTGAACTGGCGACCTCTTGGTGCATGGGGTGATGCTCAACCACTGAACCACACTGGCTGGGCACTGAGCTATTCTTTAATATCATCTTTTTAGCAAGTTTCTTCTCATACTCCAGGTATCTAGGTAGCTCTCTTTCCTAGAACCTTACATTTTTACTCTGTAGTGTATCCTGATATCTGACTGTGCTGTGTGCTCATTGATTTTTCTCATTCAATTTTTATTAAGCGCCTACTGTGTTTTAGGCACGGTGCTAAGCTCTAATAATACACAGGTGAGGACGTCATGTCAGGCAATTAAACTGTGTGGAAAGTGGGTCAGGACGAGGGGGGAGGTGTGTTATGTCCCCCCGGACAAGCACCTGAGGCCTGTCCTCAAGGAGAGCTCTCTGAGGGGGACATTTAAGATAATTCCTCAAGAGCACACCAGGGGGCCACTGTGGCGTTAATTTTACTATGAAAGAAGTTGCGATTTAGCCGGTGAGCCGAGTTTTCTCTCCCACAGTGTAATCTTTAGCCAGTGGGGGGATATCCCATTTCCAGTGAACCCAGATCCCCAGTTTTCTTGGAATGAATGTTTTAACTGGAGAAGTCACATGATTCCAGTCAATAGCCAGTGCCGCTCTTTTATCTCCAGCTGATGTCTTGGAAACGCATCGGACGTTCCTTCTGAAGTACATTGTAGGTGCTCATTAAAACCAACCAGTCAAACTTCAGTTAGAACATTCACGAGTGTCTCGTAAGTGCAATGTGCGCAAGGTGCTCCAGGCCGCCTATGTTGTCATAGCTGACGGTCATGGTTAGGAACATGGTGTAGTGGCATGAGGCACCCACATTGCAGGTCACAGTCTTCTCTGTTCTGGGGTGAGGTCACCTCGATTCAAATCCTGACTCTGCCAGTGGCCAGCTCTATGACCTTGAGCGAGTTCCTTCATCTGTCTGTGCTGGGGTTTCTCATCTATAAAACGGTGATAATAATATCGCCTGTGTGTAGAGGGTTAAAAAAACAATTCATAGCCCTGGCCAGTTTGGCTCAGCGGTTAGAGTGTCGGCCTGCGGTCCGGAGAGACCCAGGTTCGGTTCCCGCTAAGGGCATGTACTTCGGTTGCAGTTTGTCCCCGGCCCTGGTTGGTCGTGCGGGTGGCAGCCACTCGATGTGTCCCTTCACATCGATGTTTCTCTCTCTCTCTCCCTTCCTCTCTCTCCCTCCCATTCTATCTGTACAAAACAATGGAAAAATATCCTCGGGTAAGGATTAAAAAAAAAACGAAAAAACAATTCATACACACCAGGTGCTCCAAACAGAGCCCTCCACATCATGAGTAATATCCAACGCCTTAACAAATAAGGTCATTTTACTTCCAGAGCACGGGTATTAAAGATACCAGTTTAGAAAGCAATAGGCACGATACATGTACTGAGTTTATTCATCTTTGATACAGAACACAGGTGATCACAGTGAACGGGATGCAATGGACAGATTCCCAGACTGGGCATCTCAGGACCTCTCTCTATCTCTGTACTAATGAACTTAGCAATGTGATGGTCAAGGGCTTAAAGCCTGTTTTATCCTTTGGAAATAGACAGGTGTAGACTCAGGAAAACAGTAGAGACGTGTGGTTGCATGTCCGGAAGGCTCGCGGCCTGGAAGCCATCCTTTGCTGTTGCCTGTTCGTCACACTAAATGCCCGTTGTTACCTTCCCAGGGGTCATCACAAGCTATGGGCTGTATCTGGATGGAACATTAGTCCACAACTCCTCAGAGCTCAGCTGCCAGGCACATGGACTTGCCCCTGGGAGCCTGCATGCCTTCCGCGTGCAAGCGTGCACCGTCAGAGGCTGCGCCCTGGGCCCACTGGTGAGTGTGTCCCCCCGGGCGTGCCGTCCACGTCAGGGGACGGGGAGTCAGGAGACTGTGCTGCTGGCTCACTCGCCATGCTAGCCTTTCCGGGAGGATGGCGGTTCTTCTCCTTACACAATGTCACTGAAGAGTTCATAATTGTTTATGTTCAACATAAATGGCAAGACTGCATCCAGGTCTGGTGAAGGGCAGAATCCTCCACATTCTCCGGAAATTTCTAAATGTAAGTTGGCCAGCGTAGCAGGCAAACCTATAGTTTTGCCTAGTTTAGTAACAGTTAAAGTGCATTTTTTTCTTCCTGATCATGGGTTCTGCAACTAAGTTTATGATTAAAAAGTGAAAATAATTGAAGGCCCGTAAACTGCATAGTGTGACAACGGTGCTCCCCAATAATTGGGCTAATCGATTGAAAGGTTGAGTTCACCTCATCTATTAGACCAAATTTTTTTTTTTTTTTTATCCTTAGCTGAGGACATTTTTCCATTTTTTGTTCAGATAGAGTGGGAGGGAGAGAGAAAAACATCGACGTGAAAGGGACACATTGAGTGGCTGCCACCTGCACGACCCAACCAGGGCCGGGGACAAATTGCAACCGAAGTACATGCCCTTAGTGGGTACTGAACCCGGGTCTCTCTGGACCACAGGCCCACGCTCTAACTGCTGAGCCAAACCAGCCAGGGCCAGACCAAAATATTTTAATTTTATTAGTGTGATATAGCTTCATGAGCTCGGTATTTAAAATTGCTTCAATATCAGCTTTTTGATATCCACCTTTCAGAAATCTGTAATGCATATCTATATTCCCTTAGTAGCTAAAAGAGCGACACAATTATGCTTTTTATTACTGGTGTCATTTGAAAAATTCAATGAATAGTACATAGTTGTCCCAGACTCGCATGACATTCTTGAGTTTCTAAACATCACAGTTTAATTTTGTGCGTTTTTCTTGATTAACTCGATTTACCTTCTTTTAAGGGGAATGCCCATTAACGTTAGATACTTTTTGGCAATGCCGGCGAATGGGCTATCATTCTAATGCGCTCCGTCTCCACGGAGGAGTGTATCGTATCAATATTACCCTGAGAAACAGCTCGGCTGTTTCATTTTGGCTCCCTTAGTTTCCACCACACTTCCCTCTCTGCTGCAGAATTTGGTGGCTTTCCAAGCTGCCTGCCGTCATCTGTCCGTGGAACTGAGCTGCAGCCTTTATTGCCATTAAGTATTTTATAGCCCAGACCCTCCGATGGCGACTTGCTCTTAAAAGCAGGGATGGCAATAGGCCAGCTTTTCCTCCCCATTCAAAAAAGAAAGGGGAAGAGAAACAAAGGAACACTTCACGGGAACTTGCAACTTGGGTTTTTTCGAAACTAGAACCTGCCCGTTGTGGTCCGGGCTGGTGCACGGGCTCCCGCCCTGTCTCCGGGTGTCCCGGCAACTTGAAACAGGGAGACACGGTTATCGATCTGTGTCCTGCGTGGATAGCAGGCGATGTCAACCTTAAGAAATCAAATGCCACAGGGGCCTGAAGGGAAGAGGGAAAACAGAATTGGACTGTAGAATCCACTCTGTCGCAGCCTTGTCCGTTCCTGACCCAGCCCTGACATGCAGGGGGCTTGCTTTCTCCCCCCCGGTAACTTCTCTTTATCCTGGGCTCAGCGTGCTAACCTTTCCCCAAGTCAGTGATTTATCTCTAAACACCGGGATTGGACAACAACATCTTTGTTTAGAACCAGCCAGCGATATGCTAACAGGAAGTTAAAACTGGTGGCCTTCAATGGATTTCTGAGATACTTTGTGCCAATTACGGTGCATATTATGCCCTTACGAGATTACATAGGGGTATTCTAAATAGCCCCAGATATCTATCACAGTCATGCAGGAAATTACCCATTCAGGTTTTTTTGGTTGATGATTTTTTTAATGTATCCATATTGATTTAAGTAATCTATGAATCAATCTTAAAAGTCAGACTGTCCTATTATTAAATTACAATGTGATATTCAACAGAATGCAGCCAAATGTCGTCATGGCATATACATATCACTGACCGGCACGCTTCGTCTGAAGCCCAGAGCTCTGCTGCTTGATGAAAACAAAAAGTTATAATTTCCATTTTCAAATCTTTTTCTGGCACAAGTCAAAGAAGGTATTTTGAGAGAGTCAGATATTTTTTGGTTCATCTAACATTTCTTCATAATCGCTGTTGGTTGTTGGAAAACCTGGCTGTTTCTTTTACATCTGCTATGTATTTAATATCAGTATTTTTCATACCTGCAGGGAAATATGCAATGTTTTCTATGATAAATATGTTCCACCGAATGAAGTGTGCTGTGGGTCACCCTCAAAATTTGAAAGTTCCTCATATAATAATAGAAAAAAATAGTTTTAAAAGGACAAATTTGATAAAAGATACTGTATTTAAAATAAAAATGCATATATAAATTGAGTATTCTTACCATTTGAATGTAGTCTTAGCTCACTATGTCTTTTTGACCAAGTTTTTGGCTTGTGATTTGTGGTTCAGAAGGAATTGCTCTGTACCTATTTGAAAAACAAAAAGAAAGAGTTCTTTGTAGTTTGCTTAGTTCTTGGCCAACTACACAGTGTATTTTGCTTTTAAGGAAATTCCAATGTACAAAACAATTTACAGTGTCTTTGATCCTAATTTTAACATGCTAATATGCATTGTCAAATTAAATCTAGTAATTGGGACTTTATGAAAGTTTGAAATGATGGGGAGAAAAAACACAGAAAAATGCAACAGAGAACTTTTTAATTGCTTTCCTTACTCTCAATTATATTGTTGAATTATATTAGAGGGAAATCCTTCACGATTTTTGTCTCCCTAAAATAAAAATAAAATAAAATTACATTGAATTTGTCCATAGGAAGAGATTGCTTTGCTTTGCTTTATTTTTTTCCACTTAGCCGCTGTTAGATACAACTAACATTGGAGTCTGAGATTGGGGATTTTATGACTTTTTCTGGCCTTAGAACATTCATTGGATTCAGTTCCCCAGGGAACTTCTCAAGGCTGAAGTCTGAAACTATAGGTCACCGCTGGTTTAATTCCTGGTGATGGCATGCTTGCGGAGATAAACAACCAGGCACACGTGGACACATACATTTTCACATTCATTGTTTACACATTCATTGTGAATGTGTATTTAAGACACCTAAATTTTAATTACAATATATTAGAGTCCAGAAAATTGGGAGATCAACCCAATTATTACCTGCTGACACCCCCAATACCTCCTTGGGAAACATACTTATTCTACTACGCTTCGGATTTCTCAACTATCTCAGAAAGAAAAGAATACCTACTTTAAAAGGGGGGCTGTGGAAATGTAAATGAAATATAATGTATACAAGGGTTTCTGGTACTTGGTAAGAGTTTCATCAAGAATGGAAGTTTTCTGAAAATGTTTATATGTGTTCATTGCACATTTGTGCTCAAACATATTGTGTGTTTTTTCCTGTGTCATGGGAGATTTCTATGCAAAACCCAATCAAAACTTCCAGAATGCCTTTTCTGTAACAGTTTTTTTAAGGCAAGGTTGCTCATCAAAAGGTTAAAAAATAAATAAAATTTAAGACCGAGTCGGTGCACATGGTACAATTGCAAATTTAATGTAGAGCAAAAAACTGGAGTATTTATCTAGATAGTTAAGGGAATTTTAAAAGCATATCTATTTTGAATTAGCCGGATATTTGATGATAATATTAGAATGATCTGGAATTGCCCTTACTTCTTCAGCTGTTTTAGTTCTCAGTTTTTGTGGAATCCTTTAAAATAATTTTCTATGCCATAATTTGAACTATATACTTAGACATAATAAAACCAATTGCGCCCTGGCCGGTTTGGTTCAGCGGTTAGAGCGTCGGCCTGCGGTCCTGAGAGACCCGGGTTCGGTTCCCGCTAAGGGCACGTACTTCGGTTGCAGTTTGTCCCCGGCCCTGGTCGGTTGTGCGGGTGGCAGCCAGTCGATGTGTCCCTTCACGTCGATGTTTCTCTCTCTCTCTGTTCCTCTCTCTCCCTCCCACTCTACCTGAACAAAAAATGGAAAAATGTCCTCGGGTGAGGATAAAAAAAATTTTTTTAAAAAAAAAAACCAATTGCATTGTTATGAAATATTAAAATGATGAATTGATATTTTTTCCAGTCAAGCTTCTGGACCATTTACATAACTATTAGACTAAACAAGAAAGAAAGAGCAGGGGTCCCAGATCTAAAGAACCCCATAGCCGTTCTCAGATGACAATAAAACATGTCATGACCTCATACTTATTAAAAATTAACACTGTCTCTCTCACATTTATTTTCATAATTGGGAAAGCGTATGCCCCCTAACAAATGGAGGTTTCATCATTCCGAGTATTTGCCTGCCTAAGAGTTTCATGTTTGATCGCCTTCCAGGGAGGCATGGGCCTGCACTTCAAAAATAAGGTCGAAATTATCAACATATGCAATAAATCTTCAAAGGTCAACATTTCTGAGTGATGCTTATGAGCTGGGGGTGTTGTGTTAACAAATTTAAAGCCAGTTATTCAAAGATGCTAAAACATTCTGAACCCCTTTCTGTGTTTCTTACAAACTCCTCTTTCTCTGGTCACTTAGTCATATTTATTTTTTATTTTATTTATTTTTTATTGAATTTAGAGAGAGAGGAAGGGAGAGGGAGAAAGCTAGAAACGTCGATGAGAGAGAACATCAACTGGATGCCTCCTTCATGCTCCCCACTGGGGATCGGGCCCACAACCTGGGCATGTGCCCTGACTGGGAATCGAATTAGCAACCTCTTGGTGCAGGGGTCGACACTCCACCACTGAGCCACACCAGCTGGACAGTCATTTTTTAAATTTTTTATTTCACTATTGCGGTCAGTCTAGGCCCCGTACAGTTAGAATTCCATTTTGTGTCAGAGCCTGTCTCTTCAACTAATCCATCTTTGCTCTTTTCTGCCTAGGTTCATAAACACTGTATTAATGACGTTCTCAACTGTGTCTGTGATTACACCTTAGGGATGGAATCACTCGGGTACATTTATTTTTTGGATGTCTGGCATGATGTCATCTTCACACACCTAGAGAACTGTGTGTGTGTGTGAAGATGCTCACTGTGGTCTTTGACAAAGCCCAGAAGTCAGGAAGTTATGGACACAGATGTTAGACATTTCTCCTCTTTCGCAATCCCATGAACATGGTTTTAAGCCATCCTAGAAAGAGTCCATGGGCACGGCCATGCGCACCGTCCCAGCGGGGTTTGACCCACGTGTGCCGGAAATCACAAGCAACAGCCCTGGTCAGGAGCTCAGACTCCAAGCGCTCACAGCAGGAGGAGGGACACCCAGGCCTGCTTTGATCCTGCTGACAAAATGAGGTATTCATACAAGATGCTACTGTCAAAACAGTTTACTTCGCAGCCAGAAGAGCTCCTTTGAAGAGACCGGCTCAAAGCGAAGCGTGCACTTATTTTATTTGCAAACAAAAATAAATCTCTTCCCTCTCGCAGGTAGAAGATCGCACTCTCGAAGCTGCTCCTGCAGGAACGGTCCAGGTCTCGGCCAAAGCAGAAGGATCCCGGAGAGTCCGCGTGTGGTGGGAAGGACCTGCGCACCCCAACGGGCGCTTGACCTACTTAGTCCTTGTCACTGGGATGTTCTATGCGGATCAAGGTAACGTGTGTGTCATTTTTAAACTCGAATGACGTGAGGAAACACTTTATTTTCTTCTGCGATCCTTATTTTTAACCACAGGTTTCAATTTCTTTATTTTCCCTTAAAATAACCAATCGTGATGCGCTGATGTGGTAGTTGGGTTGTTTCCAGAGCAGCAGCGGTAGATTCATGTCATAACCGGTGAGAAGGGGGAATCCTCACACGTGTTCTATGTGAATCAGAATCTCCGGGGGAGGGGGGGGCGGGCAGCATGCCGGATGGTGCCAACCCCCTCAGGTAGTTCTGATGCACACCCGAGTCGGAGAAAGACTGGTCTAGTGGGTATGCTACCTTGCTTGATAAATGGTGAAATCCTAAAACGTCACTCACACAGAGTTGCGCTTTAATTTTGCAGTCCATCTTAACCTGGGTTTTTGTTGTGTGTGTGACCATTTTAATATTTCTAAGCTGATAATGCTGGTGTTCCAGTGGGCATGGATTAAAGACAGAGGGATCCTTGAAAGTACTGTCAAAAACCAATGGATTCGTAGAGGTTAGCTGAGGTGTGGTTAGGTGCGATGTTTATTTTCAGCAACCCATGCTGGAGAAAAAGGTAAGTATAGATAGATGGTACTAAGAACAATTTTGATGAAGTGCTTGCTTTCAGCATTTTCAGAAGTGGCCATACTATTTTTGAAGGAGATGTTTACACTGTTTCTTTGAAAATCAGCAGTGAATGTGCAAAAATAGTCACTCATGCTAATAGCAACAAAACGATGTCCCTTGGACTTGAAAGTGTTCCTTTGTTTCTGAAGTATCCACAAGTATTTGTAGGACTTAATAACATCCTCAAAGGGTAAAATCAGAAAAACAGATTTTGCCAAAGTTGAGGAGCATGTTCATATCTGTACACCACGCGGGCAAGCAAACGGACAGCGAGTGTGAGTGTGTGTTGGAGTCTGTGCTGGTCTCCTGGAAGCATGGTGTGTCCCTCTTTTATGCAATCAACTCTTTTTTTCTTTCTTTCTTGGTTTTAGAGAGAGGGAGAGAGAGAGACAAAACATCGATGAGAGAGAACATCTACTGGCCGCCTCCTGCATGCCCCCCACTGGGGATCAGGCCCACAACTTGGGCATGTGTCCTGACCGGGAATCAAACCAGAGACCTCTTGGTACATGAGTCGATGCTCAACCACTGAGCCACACCAGCCGGACCAATCAAGTTTTTGATGTGTTCTGCTGTGAAGAACTTGCGAGATGATGAGGTGAAGGAGTGATGCTCACTTTGCAAAAAGCAGCTCCATTTTGGCCGGACCCGTGACAACCCAGTGGCTCGCAGCCGGGTGAATAATGTAGCAGCCCACTTCCCCCTTGTGTTTAATCTTGCATTGTTTTTGCAGAGGAACATCTCTGCTTGCCTTCCAAGTCATGTCATCCCCGGTTGTCATCCCGTCTCTCAAGCCATCAAAACGGTATTAAATGTTGCAAAGCTCTGTAGCCAAAGAACTTTCGGAAGTCAGAACCCATTTGCAGAGCAGCCCTTGTAGAAAATGTATTCTGTTCTCGGCAGAATTTTCCTTCAGTTCTTTCCACTGAGAAGTTTACTGATTTCTCCCTGTGGAATCTGTTGGAATTTATCGGTTCATGGTTGGCAGTCACAGATTAAGGTAAATGTCGATCCGTAATGACCCTCTACATGTTAGTATTGCAGTAAAAGCTGGGCTTTTATGTCAAAGATATCGGAGAGGGAGCTATTACACATGACAGGGGTGATCAAGGGACTACAGACCAAGGCAAGCATTATTAAATATTGACTAGTTCTGTGATTTATGTAGAGCTTCAGGAAAAAAGTGACTTTTTAACCATTATATATTCTTCAGCAACGAAAACCAGCCATTTATCTCCTGCTGGCAATAAAGAAGAGAGAGCCTGCATATTTTAGTGGAGGGAAAACCCAGTCTTATAAATGAGATGAACTCCTTCCTGATAACGTTTCAGTTTGTTAATTGCCAAAAGCGAAACAGATAGATTGGAAGCAATTACAAGATTCGACTTAAGGAGTCTGGCGGTGTGCGTTCAACGCGAAGGTCGGAAGGGGGTGAGGTTGGGAGCAAGGGGATCATTTTGGGGTGGACCCCAGGAAGTCCCTGACAGCGGTTCACTGCGACGAGAACTCTGACGTCCGGTGTTAAGGGAAAGGATTTCAAATATCGCCTGGCCCAGTCACCCATCAGCAGTTCAGCGACATGCGCACCTAGGAAGGGGAAGACCACGTGACTGTTCAAGAGACAAATTAAACATGAATTCATCAAACTTATTTAAGATATCATCTGTTCACTAGATTTGTGCGAAGCTCATTGAATTGTCTAACGGCTAATTGGTTATTTCCGTGGTATAATGAACAACTGTATTTCATCCTTTTCTGGGACGGCTGCTCCGAGGGGTGGCTAGAACGTGTAAGGTAGGGAAAGGCAGCTGGTAGGAAGCAAGCCCAGCTTCCGGACAAGTGGCCTGCAACCAGGTCACGGTCTCATGGAGCAGCGGCCTGGCTCGGTAAGACCCTCACGCTGGACCCTTTGGTACATGTCCACTTCGACCCTGAACTGCAGACTTGCCAAAGCCAGCGTTAGATTTCCTAACAACAACTGAGGTGGCGCATATCGAAGGTGGACTCTAAGAAGGCATTTCCTTCTGAGCAGGTAGCATATGCTCATGAGCCCACGTTTAAAAGATGGAACACAGTGGGCAGGGAAAAGTGGCAAAACTGTTCTGCAGTCTCAGTTGAAGCCAATGTACCCCGTTTCTTATAGCGTCTAGAAATATTTTATGTGTCTGCAAGCAAATACATATTTCCCCATTAGCTACTATGTGCGTAGTCTTTGTCCCACACATACAACCTTGTACACAAATGATACCCCATTTCACACACAGTTTTGTACTATGCAATTTACTCAATGCTATTTCTGAGGCCTTGTCACATCAATACCTAAGAACATCCTCATTCTTTATACAGCGTCATACTACTCAATTTTATATATGATACCATCATTGGTTTAACCAATTCCCCACTAATGGGCATTTAAATTCCTTCCAATCTTCAGCTACTTCAAAGAATGCCTTAAGGAATTAAGAGGTAGGTGTGCCATTTCACACTTTTGCAAGTATATTAGTATGATAAATTCGCTGAAATGAGCTGTTAGGTCAAAGGAAACGGGAGTTTGTAACTTTGTAAAATATTGTCAACGTTCCTTCCGTGGGAGCCACAAGGGTATCCGGATTTCTATAACTCCCTCGTCGGAGCGTGTTGCCAATTGGATGATGTTAACAATCAGTGTCTAATGGTACTTGAGTGTGCATTTTTCTAATTAGGAATTAGTTTGAACTTATTTTCATATGTTCAGAAACTGTGTTTCTTTTTCTATGAATTCTTCATTGTGTCCTTTGCCCGTGTTTTTACTGAGCTTTAGGAGTTCTTTATTAATGAAATCTGTTGGGCGACTGGTCATGTTTTCCCCTTTTCTGTTGTTTTCTCCAGCTCTTTAATGCTTTCTTTTTAAATATATTTGTAGTCAATTCTTTTAGGATTCATATAGGTATAATATATGACATATAGGTCAAACCTAATTTTTTTGGAAGAAAATATTCCACCATCTCAAACCATTTATTAAATAATCCATATTTTACCCACATGGTTTGTTACCATCTTTAAAAAGTTCTAAATTTTTACATTTACTTTATGTCTGGACAGATGTATGCTCTTATGTATATTATCATAGTGTTTTAATTATTAAAGCTCTAAATATATTTTAATGCCTGGTAGACCAAGTTCTCCTCATTATTCTCATTTTTTTTTCTTCTTTATTGATTTGAAAGAAAGAGGAAGGGAGAGGGAGAGAGAGAAACATTGATGAGACAGAACATCGATTGGCCACCTCCTGCATGCCCACCACTGGGGTTCAAGCCTACAATCTGGGCATGTGCCCTGACCGGGACTTGAACCAGTGACCTCTTGGTTCACAGGTCAATGTTCAACCACTGTGCCACACTGGCCAGGCTTCCCCTCATTATTTTTATTTTATAGAAACTTTCTACCTACTTTTCCTATTTATTTTCTTTCAAGCAATACTGATAAGCTGTTACTTCCCCCAACAAGTCCCAATGATAGTTTTGTAAAAATGAGATTGGAGTTATAGGTTAACTTAGGTAGAAACACTATCTCTATGATGTTGGACTTCTCTAATCAATATGATGATACTTTCTGTTTGCCTTCCGTGTCTCTCAAAAGATCTTAACGTTTTCTTCTTCTAGATCTTATACATTGTGTTCAATTTATTCACTGATATTTCATAATTATATATAATTATAAAGTGTATATATTAATAATTAACTTAAAAGAGCTACTTTTATAAATGGCACCGAGTTCACTCTCAGAGACCCGTCTTTGGAACGCCATACTTTCAAACGTTGCTATGTAATGGGTGATGTAATTGATATCTTTTCTCTCACCTCAGCAACTCTCTGTGGCTGCTTTGTTACCAGACTTTGTTGTCATTTTCCCCATAGCACAGACATTTCCCCAGTTGGAAAATGATAACCCGATTAGACTGTCAACTCGTTTTTTTTGTTTGTTTGTTTGTTTTGTTTTTTATCCTCATTCGAGGACATTTTTCCATTTTTTGTACAGACAGAGTGGGAGGGAGAGAGAGGAAGAGAGAGAGAGGGAAACATCGATGTGAAAGGGACTCATCGAGTGGCTGCCACCCGCACGACCAACCAGGGCCGGGGACAAACTGCAACCAAGGTACATGCCCTTAGCGGGAACCGAACCCGGGTCTCTCCGGACCACAGGCGGACGCTCCAACCGCTGAGCCAAACCGGCCAGGGCTGTCAACTCGTTTTTAATAAACCAAATCTGAGGCGTATGAAATGACACCAAAGATGGGACCTCAAGGATCTCTGTCCCCACACAATTTTCAACCAAACGAGACGGTCACACAGGCAAACCCAGCCGCGTCATTC